GTTTGCTACTGCCTTATTATCGATACGGTTTGAAATTAGGACAAGATGACTGTCCATTGTTCTTTGTCTGGTAGCGATTCATAGTGGGAACTACCTTCTAACCGATAATTAATAAATATCAATGTTGGGTAATTTAAAAATCAACATATTCAATATCGTTTGTTTGATTATTGCGAAGAATTTTCGACACAGATATGGAATATCATGACGCCATTCTGAAATCCGTTGAAATTGTCCCCACTCATTGTATATCTAAAAAAACGTTTTGCAACGGCAACCACTTGTCATTTGTCCTCATACACAAACACTCTCATAAGTTGAATTTCGATGATATCTTTTCCATTCCGTAGTATATTTCATTTGCTAATTCTAATATATTCAACTGTTGTTTTTCTGAAGAGTATACACGGATGAAAGTATACCTACCAATGTGATGGCTTTGGTCGACTTCAGCAGTAATTATATTTCAGATGGGTTGTAAGTTATTTTATCAGAGTGGTTGATTGCATGAAGCATTTAACATGCATAAGTATTCAGTCATAATAAATCGGGAGAGAGAAAAGTTTTTTGAAGCATTCACAAATATTGAAAAGCAGTTGTCCATAAGTTTCGGAAGCCAGCCCTTATAATTGTGTTGAATAAGAGGATTACAATTTTAGAAACATTTACCACCATGAAATCATTAATTTACATTGTTTCTTCTTGTTCGGTTTATATGATCTAAAAGTCTAAATATTTAACACATTCAGTGGTTCCCTGAAGATTTTAAATGTGACCAAGGAGTTATATCGTGGGTGACAGTTGTTTTACTTCGTAAAAAAGTTTATATGTGTATATGTTATCATTTTATATGGCATTGTATGATATTGCAAATTTACACTGATCGTTTTTTTAATGTTATTAGTTAATATATGTTCACATAGCTGATATTAATTGTGTTCCATGTCAAATGTATTTTGTCTAGAGGTACATTGGTTTAGAATAGATCGACAGCTCTCTCTATTTCACACTTACGTAATTCACTATTTTTACCAAAGTAAATATTTTTAGTAGATGTATGCTAACATCGTTTGAAACCAAATGCTTTGAAAAACTAATTCTAACATATTCATCTTGATGTAGATCCAATAACTTTTGTTTTAGTAGACCGTTAACCCTCGATCGAGACGATGAGCTAATCACTTAGTGCCTGATTTATATCACGATCATCGGAGAACTGCGATAGTACCATATTTGACTCTTTTGTTCTCGGTATACTGATATACTTCTGAGGAAACAATTCTTTAACAGTATTTCTTGAACACAGTAAAATTAGTTTCGTAAACTTTATCATTAAAGGATGAGGATCCATTTTTGTCTTTAACATTAGTGAAAAAAAACTATCTGACTATACGATTATGAGGTTATGATGAAACATTTTGGGATAATTTACTCTAGGTGATTTTCAAGTTTGAGAAAATATCACGAAATTTCGAAATAAAAACAATGTACATTCATCATTATACTTTATTTTTTAATTTTACCTAATTCAATATGTCACATAAACTTTTTATTAGAAGTGAATAAAACCAGAAAAAATATTGAATAATCAGGCGTCACTGAATCAAAAATCATATAGTTAACAAATATTGGCAACATTACATCCCGAAAAAAAGTTTTTTTAATTGTGCTATTTATCTATGCTGAGCAAAACAACTATTATAGGTTGATCTTTAACATAAATCATTGTTAGCCTGATAACCATTGGAAATAATGAGAACAAGAGAAATCTACAACCGAAGGATCGTGTATAATGATATATTTGTAATGTCTGAGTGAGTAGACGACTTAGTTTCGTACTTTTCGCAACTTAGTGTAAGTTAATTCTTAATAGAATAAATAAATAGCCGAATTAAATTAGTGTAATTTCACTTAATACAAAAAAAACAAAGCATAACATCTAGAATAATCAAAATAAGTCCGATCAAGTCATTGTCATGTTGTTCTAGCCGAGGTGATTTTGTGTTGAGACACTCATTGATGTTATTGAAATGTGGTACTGATGTATTTTTGTCAACAAAACAGATCCATTTGTCAAGAAAATCTTTGCTAGGAGTTGGTTTTATAGATATTTATGGTGTGGTTCTCATATCATTCTTATTTATTTGCAATACACTAATTATTAGAAATCCATTTGTAGATTCATTTAACGATGAAATTAACGTAACTTTCTAAGCTGACTTATTCTCTGATTATGTTAATGATGAAGTAGGGTTGAAAATACGTGCAGATCATTTAAATTTTTTTGCGGTGTATAGAAACAACTTTGTGTGCAAGATTCCGAAACTTATACGTCAACTTGGCCAGTGAGTCGTATTACCCAACTCTTTCAGTATGCTTCTAATTTTATCAGTGAACAGATGTGTGCAGCTTGATAACATGCTTACAGTGAATACGTTGTAACTTACTAACGTATCTCCCTCTATTTCTGATTCACTGTTGATTAAAATCCTGTCCCGCTACATCAAAACTTCCTTATTTTCAATTTTTCAGAGCTAAAATTTATGAATTTCGTTGTCATGCCCCGGAAAACTTGAAATCTCGCGAACTGACTGAATTAACAGTTGATGATATATGTAAAGAAGAATTAAGTCAATCAGTGATACCATCGGAAGATTTATCATCAAATTATAATATCGGTGTATTCGATCAGTATCAACCAACTGGACAAGACAATAATAATCAACAACGAAATGGCGATTTCGGTGAAATATCAGGTCGTCATGATTTGAAACCAGTCAATGCAGATGGTAATGAACAACAATTGGCCACTGCGGGTAGTAGTGGTATTTCCACTGAAATGATCATTGTAATTTGTGTTGTCATAGCATGTATTATTGTTATCATTATAAGTTTAATTGTTTATTCGTCACGTAAACGTGCACAACGTAGAAAACAACAAGAGAGAAATCTTGGTGTTTCACATAAAACAAATTCATATTGGTAAGTCAATGTGAGTTTTTTTGTCTATGTGTATTTTAAGAGATGTATGGCCGAGGAATTTTAAGAAAATTACCCAGTTTTAGAGCTATTAGTTACCACAACAACTGATATTGATGATAAAGTCGTCACTTTTTTCTATCAGCATAATTAAACCATTCGAATGGTAGAATAGTTTCTTTAGTGTAGTACTCGAATGATGGATGGTTGAACTAAGTGAATTTACTTACTCGAATCAATTCACATTTCCTGTAATAAGTACTTACTCATACGCTAATATGGAAACTAGTGTAAGGAATTCACCCTGGATTAACAGCGATCAGAATTTTTGAATTATGCATCATCCCTATCGAATGAATGATGATTTTTGCGATCCAGCTGTATAGAATATATGGCTTTGTCTTCTAAACCACCGGAAACAAGTATTGCTTTCCCGCGCAAACATGACCGAGGAAGTATACTCGATTGATATGTTTCAGTCAAGCTGAAATGCATGTTGTAGATTTCACTGTTAGTCACTATCTAAAATATCATCTGACAGTTAGCTTGTTGGTTTGCCTAGTAGGAGTCAACTTTCGATTTCATAGTTTACCAGTTTGGTACACAGTAATGTACCGTTTGGAACGTTCACTGTCCAATTTCGAGTTGATTACGAAAATCAAGACATCGGATTACATATTTTTAGGGCGAACGTGAATATATATATATATATATATATATATATATATATATATATATATATATATATATATATATATATATATAGCGCTATGATGCCAGATTTTTATTTAGATTATAATCACATAATTATACCAATACTATTATAATTACTATTACTATCAGTACTGATTATCAACCGGTTCATTACACGTTTAATCTATGTAAGAAAATAGCTATTATTATTTTGGTTAATAAATGTAAGCAGAATTTTTCTTGTCGGCATTTTACTTTATTCTTATCCTCTCATTCTGTGTATTAACTAAGTTGACTGACTTAAATTCTTACATACAATTTCTGATTATGTGCGCATCTTGTGTGTATGTGTTTGTGTGGGGTACACTAGATGCTTAGTGCATATTTGTTCATTTTTTTAATCTTACGTCATTCTTCTTTTTACTTTAATTATCATGACTTTTGTTGTCGCAGTTATATTTCTTTGCCAAATCCATCAGACAGAACTTAAATCTCTTACTCTGTACATAGGTTAATATGAAAAATTTTCTGTTTTGTCACTATTTGTTTTTCAGTTGTGCATAATTTGTGAGCATATGGTAGTGTGTATGTGCCAATGTGGTTGTATGTTCATTTATTAATTTTTCATTTTCTGACGATACTTAGTTATAATAGCAGCATCCTCGTGTATATATGAAAATGCAATGAGTAGGTGGTATGCTATTCTTACTTAGTGATTGCATATATACATTTTGTAAACACATCTGTGAAAGTGTCAGTTATTCATCTGTTAACCTCAACACACTAAGATACTTTTAGATGATCTGTAGAAAAAGTTTATGTACATTTCGTGTTTATGATTCGATTATTTCATTTTCTTTATTGCTTTTTTATATTTACTTGTGGAATGTTTGTCATTCTATTTACATTGCACATGTATGTACCACTTCATGCTCTGTGTGTTTGTTTGCTCCTTTGCATGTATTTGTATATACAAGTGAGTTCTGTACATCATTAGCACAAAATCATCATATACATTTGTTCTAGCTTCTCTTCAGTGTGAAGCGTGCTTATAAATAACTCTGCTTAGTAACAGTGGTTTATAAGATTTTTATTTCACTGAAAAAACAATTACTAATGTATTGAAAGTCAGTGAACGTATAGACGTGTTGCTGGTTAATAATATTTTTGATCTTATCCTGCTACGCCCTTTGTTCTTGTTTTATTCAAGTTGAAAAGGGATCGGCAATAGGATTTCATGATAGTTAGCAGTTGTGAGCGAGTCAGTGTTTTTCATCATAAAATCACGTATATTCGTCTTTGGATTCAGATGTATTTTAGATGAATAAGTATTTTTCATAACTTCAAATCAGATGTTATCTTTTAATATTCCTGCAGTTCATTGAAACGAATTATAGATGAAGTATGTTTTTAGTTGTTATCGATTCATGTCATTCAATCGATTCCATAATTTATTATGGCATCAATCTACTCAGTGATATCGAGATTTTATGGTTAAATTTATTCGTGCTAAACTTTAAATTAAAATTAGAAACTATTGTTTGTGTAATATGACACTTTTTTTGATGATTTTAATAGTCTCTCACTTTATCCTCAGTTTGCAAATGGGAAAGGTATCATGTAGCCAGATTGACTTCATCGAATATAGCTTTAAGTGATCGATTTCAGTGATCAAATACATCACAACAACTATTTGACCAACCAGTAAGAGATAAGTAAACAGTAAGCGGAGTATAGAAGCATGCACCTATTAATGTGTAACTACACATGTGCGTAAATGCTACAGACATTACAACACATGCTTAACTATTTTACAACCCACTGACTGTCATATAAAACCTCCAATGAATGTTAAACGATATGTTATTAGAGAATAGTGTTTAACGGATGAGAAAACTTCAAAGTACTTAGAACAGTATTATATTTACTACGATACTCGATGTTATTTTCATGTTAAGTAATTGTACCTATTACGTAACGTTGATTTGCGAATTATGGACCAGTCAAGTTCCTTTTTACTTTAAACTTGTTTTAATTACCTGAAACACTTTGATATGTGTAGGAAAAAAACCGCTTCCGATGCTTATTAAATAAATTGAAATATAGTTGATCAGAAAAAAATAACAATTTAAGAAAATTTTAACTAATTTAATTCTTTTACTTGGCTTTTTCAGTGCTGTCATTGAACATAATCCATCAAGTCGTACACCAAGTGAAAAACAAGCCACTTCTCAGTCACCATATAATAATTATTCTAGAGGTATTTCACAGCCAGAGAAGGAACCTTTAGCTCATGGTTATGGTAATTATCGAGATGGACGCTTGTAAAGGAATGAAAAACAAACTATTAGTAGTGAAGATGGTGCTGAGAATAGTGATCCTTCCTCGTTTATCTTGTTTTCACCAAAACTTTTTCCAATTATTTCACAAAATAAAAATTATCCCCACCTTACACATATTATATTTTTTCACTAATTAACAAGTATACTCATGTTTAATTTATGCTGAATGAAAACTGATTGTTTACGCTTCTCTTCTTTGAAAAATCGCAAGAATAACGAAAAATTAAATTTTTTAAAAATTCTATTGACATTTTCATTCCACACTTCTCATTTTATTCAATGTTCCAATTGATTTAGTTGATTTCTGACTAAAACAACAGAAAATGCCAATAGCAATACCATGCAACTCAATTAGATACATATGTTCAGATAGACTTAAACACTGGTAAAGATCAATTGGCTGAAAAACTGATAAGATAATTTACATTATTGAACTGTATGTTATATCTATTCAATTATTTTATTGAATATTGATTGAAATAAGATTTGGTTGTAATGTTAATTGAAATTCGACCTATTTTATTACATTTTAGTCGTACTTTACACGAATAATTATTCTGTAAAATATAGCATCTCTCTCTCTCTCTCTCTCTCTCTCTCTCTATATATATATATATATATATATATATATATATATATATAAAGTGGTACTTCTAATTAGTTGTCCCCTCTCTTTCATTTTATTGCTTACTTCGCATTACAGTCAGATCATTTTCATTGTTGACAGTGAAAGCAAAAATATGGACTTATCTTTTTCTTTATGTTGTATTTGACTGCTTAATATCCATTTTTGAAGAAAAGAGATGCCATAGAGATCATAAAATGATAAGACGATATATATATATATATATATATATATATATATATATATATATGTAGCTTTTATGGATAGCCTCTCTGAGCAGGAAAGTGATTCTTCCCTGTTCTCCTGATTCTTTTTATTTCTTTGGGTGATTTTTAAATTTTGTTATAATTGCACTAATCAAGGATGAATATTTTGATGGGCTTTTATTATTCAGTGTTTTTATATAAATCCTGAGCAACTATGTCAATTGGAGTTAGTTTTTTATCACACATGTTTCATTCGGTATATGATGAAAAGTTTGTGTTAAGGAGTAGGAATGGGATTTTGAGTACTTCAATTCTATTCATTAAGAAGTAATTTGTTGCACTCTGTTTAATAAATAATACAAATTTGCTCACACCATTCACTTTCAATCATGCACCATATGACAATGTCATTCTGGTGATATGAGTTGTATCGAACATTCGACTGTTTGCTTTTTCAATTTTCTCCCCCCCCTTATCCACATGTAAAAATTTACCCACATTTTGGCGCCTTATTATTGTCCAATGAGTCATTCACTTAGCAAATGACTCAAATTTCTGTACGTTTACCTATCGATCCACTCTATTGAATTACTCATTTTGAAATACGTGTTCAAACAATTATCAATTACTTTATTACAAACATCATTCAAACGAATATGTTTGCGAACAAAATGTTTCTAATATCCAGTCAGCCCTATTATCATTATGACTACCAACAATTATATTTAATTTAAACAAATAATAACAGAAACAATATTCTTTTTTGTTTATATCTGTTGTTTTCCTTGTTAATGTATCAAAAGTTAGGTGCACGATGAAGAAAGTTTTCTATCAGCCATTCTACCCTCCTCTTTTTTGTTGTCGTTATAATCAATGTTATTGTTGTTGTTGGTGCGTTCTCATTTTTGTGAATTTTCACATGATTGTTTCATGTGGGTTATTTGTTCGTTTGTTTTCTAGTGTCATTCTGACGATGCGGCTATATATTATTTTCAAAAAAATAATTTAGAATAAAAAACATTGGCAGTTCACTTTACTTTGAGTATCAATTTAAGATGTTATCATTCAAAAGTCAATGAAGTCTAATGGTTTTTGATCGAAGTAACAAGATCACTTACTGATTAGTTTACGGCGACAAAAACATGAAGTCATGAATTTATCCGTTGTTTAAATGTTATCAGTTTTATATTTCATGAAGAAGGACTAGTGATAAGGCTGGATTGATTGGATAAATTAGTAAGATAAACAGTGATTTAATAATAATAATAATAATAATAATAATAATAATAATAATAATAATATAAAACCAAATAAATAAACACTGCTTACCTATCAGTTATTAGCTTTAAGATCCATCACACTGAAATCTGGTTGGAAACTTTGAAATGTGTGGATAGGTGGGGCTGAAAAATAAAGCATCTTGTTAATGGCGTTAAATTGAAATTGAACACGTAATTGGCGGATTGTAATTCAATAGCCTAATCACATCCTACTTGATATAAAATGTGAAGGTTTAGTATTTGACTCTTCGTGCAGTTCCATTTGAACTAAACAGTAATGGTATCACCTAGAACAATATTAAAACTTCCCAGTTAAGCCTATCTCAGTAAACACAACACCACTGAAAGTCATAACTATCTACAAAGGTGTGTTGCTGAAGTAATATTTTTTAAACATAAACATCATGACCCCCGAAACAGAGTGGTGATATTGAATCAGGTTGAAAAATTAAGTTGCACGCTATAATTGACCTGTGGAATCAGATAATTTTTCAGAATAAAGATCATATGTAGAAAAGGTCCAGATAAGGTGAGAGCTTAAAATTGAAGTCCTTACAAATTAGTCTTTACAAAAGTTCGTTGTTCGTATGATTTAAATAATTATGTAATAATTTGGGGGTTAGTAAAGAATACAAGGACGAAAATAATTTACAGGTCAGAATTATGAAAGATAATTGTCCGCTTGATAAGTATGAAGAAAAAGTAGAAAACATAAAGGTCATAATAGTAACTGAATAGTAATCATGAGAAATTGTTAAAGGATGATAATTAAAATTACAAACCATTAATTAAAAAATCAGGACCAAAACATACTACAGAAAAGAAGGATGAGAGGTTCGACGTATCGTTTTTACACACAGTTCGGGCTTGAATTTATGGATCACCAACGCCTTAGTAGTGAATAATTTTTTGACTCAACCTCCCTTTGATCTAGTTCCTTTGATTTTGTAGATTATTTTTAAAGAAGACTCCTTCGGAGCGACGTGTCCAGAGTGCTCTTGTATCGAACTGGTGACTTTTACAATCTCGTTTCAAAACCACTCTGGGTAACGTTCTGAGATGCTTTTGAAAAGTGATTGCTTTGTGCGGCAAATGTAACCTGCCGCACAAGAGCAAGTAAATTTATAGATGCACATTGACGTGGCTCAAAGCGGGAGTTTATCCTTAATACATCCGTGAATAGTAGGCTGGCTTGAGAAAATAATACAGAGCTTGGCTGAATGTAACGTTTTATTCAGGGATTTTTAAGTCTGTTCACTCAAGATTTCAGCAGCCGTATCTTATTTAAATTCGATATTCATAAAAATAGTTTTCATTTAAACTGTCAGTACTTTTTCAGAATGTCTTGGTGTTAAGTTACTATCGGAAAATCTAGGTAGATAACCATTTCTGATGAGTATCTGTTGAAGTTTAAGTAGTTCGTCATCTATTGTGACAAGAGAACATATTTGCCTAATCCTTGAAGGTAAAGAGTGAATTAAGTTTCTTTTTCTACTCAATGGGACCCAACTATAGAAATTCGTGTGCTGACATTCAAGGTCGGTTTTCCACATATAGGTCTCTATAAGGAATCATCTGACGTTTCCAACCAGACATCAAGAAAATAAAATTCCTGAAGCAGAGGCTTCAATACGAATTGAGTGATGACAATTATCAAAACGATTCAAAATTCCATTGAGGTTCATATTTTTCGCACAAATAATGAAATTATTGTCCGTATCTCTTACATTAATGAAACCTCTCAATTATTGGTCGAAGTACCTCATTGTCTAGATCGGTCATGAACCAATGACCCAAGAGGGGACTCAGTGGTGAACCCATTGCAACTCCGTTGGTTTTTCTATTGGAATCAACAATAAATCTGAATAGCACATTGTGAGGACATCGTAGATACAAATATCGAAATTGTAATTTTAAATAAAGTCACGTAAAATATATAGTTTCTGTGAGTGGAACATTTGTAAAGAGAGAAGTTACATCCAATGAGATCATTTTTCTACCATTTACATCGATATTTATAGTTGAGTTGACAAAATCAAATGAATCAAGGGAGTTGGAACTGTTGATGTGATTCCTGACGGGTTGTAAAATTTTAGCTAACCATCTTGCAATCAAATGATATATTTGACCCTGAATGTGTTATGCTGTATGTAGTTTTTTTCTGTTTCCGACTTTTCACCTCTACTCATCTAACAATATACTTTGGTTGCTAATCGAATAGCCCCCACACACAGAAACTGCATTCTTGAGACAAGTTGATACTCAAGTTTTCCCTGATACAAGCGAATCCCTCAGTTCCGTCTGTTATCCTACCGGACTTGAATGTCACTCAGAGGAATATCATATATAGATTACAATGTTATTAGTACTAAATGGCTTCCTTTTATTTTCTAATCAGAAAATCTAACTTCAGTTGCTTAAGTAATATCTAATTACTACTAATAGGCTGTGTGTTTATAATTTAGTTTTGATCAAGTGAAGACAACGGTTAGTTTTACGATTGAGGCAAATCAGTGTTACATAGCTAATCGTATCTACGTTTATTAAATGTTTGATAAATTTGTGTTATTTAAAAGTTTATGTAAAATGATTAACATTATCATCCCATTATATCAAATACCAATTGATTATATATATATATACTAAGAAAACTTCAATGTTTTAGTAAATATACGTAAATCTGGAGTACTGTCAATTTATACAGTATGTGATTATCATTCGTGTGAACTAAACAATGTTTATAATCCTGATTAGTACTAATAGAATGTAACAACAAAGAAAAGATTTATAAACGGATTGTTTATTTTTAATAAATAATAATAGATTAAAGACATTTATAAAATGACTATATTATTTCAATTTAATTAACCACAAGCTGGGGTTGAGAACTAGTACCGATAGTAGTATTCAGCAGTCACTCTTTGAACTGTATGTTTTACGGGATGCACAAAACTATCAATCCTTTGAGTTAGAATTGAATTGACCAATACGAACAATTTTAATCCGATGTTGTTATTAAGTTACTGTTTATGTCTTCAGTTGGATGACTTCACAGGTCAAACGGGTCACAACTGAGGATTCCTGAACTAGGATGAAACATCTGTTCATCAGTTTAAGACTTATCACAGATTCATTAATTCATGACAGTTAATGATGTAAACCATCTCAAAATCCAGAAATTTGTCTTCGAAACACAACAATTTCTGATCTATTGAATTTCGACCAGTTGATTGAGTAAAAATGTAATCGAAGATGAATTAGAAGTTTTGGATTCGTTTCATTGAGTTTGGTTCTCATCAATTACTTACATCCCTTTATGTTTAGGAATTGCAATTACAAAATCGGTCGAAATTACTTTCACAAATGAGTTTAGATAGAAATTGTAGTGAAAACACACTGGTATTGTGTAGCAATGAGATGAATAATTTTAACGAACCGAAGGAAACAGTAAACATATATTTTATATGAAGGGAAATTCTACAACATGATAGA